AGCAACATCCATCTAGAAGTTGGCGTGACGCCGCGACGGATAAGGACGATTCGCGCCGGAATCTCGGTGCAGACTGGCACACGAGAGGGCTATACGGCTCGCCAGCGACGAGACTGAAATGAGAGGGTGAGAAAGGGGATGGAGCTTGCTTGGAGGGAGGAAGAGGGGTGAAACAGAGAGAGAGTGAGAAAGGAATCCTTTCTCGATTGCCGTAAGCTTTAGGCTTGGTTCGCATGCGCCCGTTGGGGCTCACGTGCCCTCCGCCATCGTGAACCGTAGGACCCGCCTTCCTCATACGAAAGACACGTTCCCAGGGTAGCGAGAAACACACGTAGACATAGGTTCTGCCACTGCTCCAAGGAATCCAACCGCGAAAGTTCCCCTTAGGACTGATAGACGGTCTAGAACTTCGGCCTCCCTCCTTGACCAGTTACTCGGCCTTCTGGATGTGTGCTTCGCTTTGACGATACCCTACTTTTACGTGTTCGATGTGTATGTGATTTTCTCGGTCAATTGATAATGCTGCACGCGCGGTCGATTTAGTCGAAGGGATTTAAATACGTATATATCAGATAGAATCACGTGATCCTTTAACGTGAATTTTCTCAAAAAGATTTTGTTTTCCTCTGTTAGTTTATGCGGGCAATATATTTAATTGGGTATGCAAATATAAGGTGAAAAAATGGTGCTGCTCAAAGTTAGGCAACCTATGGCTAGTTTATTTAGTTAAATTATGAGTTTTTTCCCCTATTTTTTAACAGTTCTTTAAATTACGGATATTGGTTTGACTTTCCTTATAAAATTTTTATAAATTGTTATACAATTTTATACCTACATTATTTTTACATGGCATATATTTTATTCATCATACCGCAACTGCAAACAGTTTTTATTCATTTCACCTAATCTCTAGTACTCTTACATTAAATTAAAAAATTCAAGCGAATATAAAGTTTGATTAATTATTGTAATTTGCACCATTGAATTACCTTTAGTAGACAACATCATTCTACCATCGCACTAATCTTTTATATCCAAGTTTGTCATCAGCCTTATCTTAAATATTTAAGGATTCATTGACCACATATTCAGATTATACAGTCATACCTATATTTTTATTTCTTATTCGCGTTTTCTGATCTAAGCAGTCGAAAGTACGTGAACAATAAAAAATTCGACTTTCATCGATACTAAAGTTAGAATGTGTGCGACCCGAAAGGACCATCCACCTTCGGAATGATACAAGAATCGCCCTTAAACTCACTGGCGAGCTTCGTGGTAGGAGAGGACGGCAGTCATCCGAGAAAGGTTTTAGGAAGAGTTCAGGCATTTCACGTCTTTCAGAAGCATGGCATACAAAATAGTGCAAGTCATAAACCCAACCCACCAACAAACACGGTATTCGTAACAGACATTACACCACCTACATTGCACTATTTCGAAGGATGACTTTAAGTGCAAGTATACCGAAAGTTTCGCGGGGATGTCGTCGTAAACCGGTAAGAGTAGGTTCAAGGTGACGGTAGCGCGAGCAAAATGTGTTTCTAACTTCAATTGCCAGTCCTTTCCGTGTTTCTGCTGCTTGTAGACTTAAATCTACGTTTATGTTTCTTTCATTGGTGAATCGTGAAGATTTCCTCTGTACGCACCTATCGATACAAGCAATTCGACATTTCCTCACGGAACGAAGAGAATACATAAAAAGATGATAGTACACCGTGTAATTTATTGCGTTTCTCGAAACTAGTGTGTTATATACAAATATTATACACGTAATGATTTAAAATCATTTAGTCATTTACGTCTTGCTTTTGTTATTTCTATGGGAATTTTAAAGTACATTATAATTGCAACACGTTCGATTGAAATATGAATTTAATAGAATTTTCGTCCTTGAAGAAAATAATAGTAATTTATTTTTGCTTTGAGGTTCAATGCAATTTCAAAAGAATTAAATTTTATTAATTCTAATAAACATCAGTGTTATTTATTTAGAATATAATAGAATTTAAAATAAAGCACTATCGTTTCAGAAGTTTAAAAAAATTTATCGATAATTCTATTCTTTAAATTATTGTATGCCAAATACGTTTTAATAAATAGGATTTTAATTTTCATTGCCAAGCTTAGCTTTCTTATATTAAGAATGAAAGTATGTTGATTAATAATTTATTCTGATATTGAAAAATAAATTAAATGCAAGAAAGATATATTAATAGTTATTGTCAGTATCACATGCAATTCAAAAGTCATTGAATGCAATCCAATCTTATTACCATCTGTTGTTTTAATTGGAATTTAATTTTCACCAAAGCCTGGTTTATAATTACATATGGGGAAGCATCAATGGTGAACGCGTAGAAATTGTTAATTGCGGAAATGCGTTACATTTATGTCATAAAGCTCAACTATATTTCTCCTTTTCACAGGTGTTAAATCGGAACTTTGAAAAGCAATTTGCCGTGCTGTGTCGGTAATTGTTGCAATGGAACTGAAAATAATGAATTACTGCTATGCCGATAATTTGCTGAACCTTGATAACAGAAGTAATTATTATTTCAGTGGTATACAAAGTTCAAACAAGCATTTGACTAATAATTCAACAAAATTTCGAGTTAGTTTGTTCGTGACGCATTAAAACAATTTTACATTAAATTGTTTCTTCAAAAGTTTAAGACGAGAACTTTATATGCTTAACTTTATTGAAATGTCTTAAGAGGCATTTATACCTTCTGCATAATTTTATATTAGAGAATCCTAAAAATTAGTCGAGAAGCAGATCACAGTGATTGAAACTTCAATTTCATTTCAATGAAGATCATTGTATGGTGATACAACTTTCCTTTATGAAACTTTAAATTTGGGTGCTAATACATGTGCTGAATTATTTTTGATATTTTAATCAAAGTTAAATATTTTTATGTTAAATGACATTTTATTGCAAGCAACATCAATTTTGGATCTATATCATTCTCTTTGTTTATTAAATCAATTCTGATAAATAGCCATATATAGCGATATAGTAATTAATTTGAAGCATTCAAGTGTCGTTTCGTTTTTAAATCTATTAAAAATTAGAATATGATTATATGTCATTATTAATGTATCATCATTCATATAACATCAAGCATTGAGCTGGTGTACTTTACCTAGCAGAAGAATTTTAAATACTGCTATAGGAGAGATATTCTCTGCTATTGCTTTTTAATATTATATATTGTATATTAATATTATAGAGATTGTGTGTGGGTGTTAAATAATAGAAAACTATTGATTAAACATAAAATAATAATACAATGTGCGGTGACGGTAAAGACTACGAATATAGATATATATCAACTAAACTCTTACGACTACAGCTAACGACACAATTATAACTAACAACACAATTACAACTAACAACACGATTCCAACTAACAACACGATTACAACTAACAACACGATTACAACTCACTGACCCAGCATAACTGTCTCTCAAGCACTGTCTCTCAAGAAACGTCTCTCAAGAATCCTCTCTCAAGAATCGTCCCTTTAACCATTTCTGCCTTCTTTATATATCCCCTAAGAAGCCTCCCCCAACACGACCAAATATGGTCATGCTAAGGGCCTGACGCATCGTCGGGGTTTTTCGGTCCGACCTGGCCCTCGAACCCTCGGCGACTTTCTAAACCAAAATCACCTACACACGAGGTGGAAATTCTGCGATACTACAATATTATATAATATTATATATTAATATTAAATCAATATGGATGGAAAATTTTTACAATTATACGGAGAAGTCACCAACAAATCTAGTAAATTTAATAAGAAATTGTTTAAATCAGTTCAAAATCATCAGTTCCTATATAACTTAGAGATATTGTTACTTATTAAATATAAATAAACTCTCAAACCTTTCTAATAAAATAAAAGAAAATGGTACAATAGTTCGAATTAAGAGATACAAATTTTTTACTAAAACGTTTAAGTGTATTTCAGGATAAATGCAAAAAAGTTTGTAATAAAAATTCCGGAGAATTTTTTCGGTGCAAGTACCACGATACAAGACTTTAATACACAAAAATTCAAAAGAATAATCATTTACGTTTTTATTTCCGAGTGAATTGCTCTAAATTTAATGACCATGCTAAAAGCTAATATTACCTTTCGACTGTGATTGCAAGAAAATTTCTGTTGAAGTTTACGCGGACAGATCAGACTGGAATTCATAGCACCATTCCAATGTGGCAATAGAAGTGTGCAAGGTAACGTTTCGAATTGGAAGAGTATAAAAAAAGTCATCCTCCTTGAGGAAACCGTTATCTTAGGTGCAGCCATTTTAAGATCTGGCGGTAGATCTAAATTCAGCGCACTTCTTCAGAATTTCAGATAGAAAAACGTCATACATTAAACATCTCGCAGACAATGAGGAAACCCACACATAGCACGCATTTCGTAGGAAAATTAGCTTTCAACGTTCATCAAATAAAATCTTATTGAATTCTATCATGATTGTCATATTAATAACTGTATATTATTTTCCGGAAAATTTTAAGACAGAATTTTGATGAAAGAAGAGTGACTCGTTTTAACTCGATTAATAAGGAAACTTCAGTAAGTTTACAAAGTTTAATATTCTACTGACTTTTGACTTTTTCATTACACTTTGCAGAAAATCCTTTCAGATTTCTATTGTACTGCTACTCTTTATATATTTATTCTTAAGCTTGCTACTGTAAGTTGAGTAAACGTAAGAATTAATTAAGATCCAGGATGATATTAGTACAATTTAAATGAAATGTGTATATATTTTAAGATTTAATAACACTATTTTTTACAATATTTTCTGAAAAATGTAATTTTTATAATTTATGCTACAATTACATTGATCTATTTCATGTACATGCAGTAACAGCGATATTTTAATGTTGCCACTCTGTATTCAATTCATGAAATGACATTGCTTCTTTTGTGGAATTCAGATTAATATTTCAGAGGTTGAAGTTACAACGTATGAACATTTATAATTAACCAAAAATTGATTAGAAGTTAAAATTAATATTCGCTTTCTGTTGCCTA